AATATTTCTTTGTTTTATAATTTTATTAGGACATCTCTTCAAATTGAACACCTCATATATGATCATGAATGTACTAATCAAGTGAAGGTATTAGAAATTTGTATTCGCTTCATTGAACAACCAATTTGAATATGCAAATATCATGAGCAATCCGATTTCATCCACCCATTAAGAAAACAACACATGTTAAAGTCATAAACTGCTGAGAAATTCTATGTTGTAGATCTTCAATGTTTTATATATACAATTTGATCATTGTTGCCAGTGCGTGCATCAAAATGTGTGTCATTAATTGCTCCTATAAATTCTATTTAAAATATTCACGGGAACAATTTATTTTTTATAAAACATGCATGCAAATTAAATAAAGAATACAATCAGTACCTTGAAGGATAACAAGTTTCTCATATCATTACATATCTCTCTTAGTGTATGCCCAAAAGAAGGATATATGGGTTTGACAATGTTGTTTGACATTCTAACCAAAGAATTAACCCCACTATCAAAATATCTATTGATCGCCTCTATTGAGTGTAGGAATTGCTCAAAAACATTACGAATGAACTCTTTATCTGATATAATATATAAAGTGATGACAAATACTTCCTTATGTAAATCCCGAGGATCCATGAAAATTATAATTATTTTGCAATTCATCTAGTAAATCATCAAAAAAATTTTCTCGTCCTCTAAAATATACTATGAATCCTACCCAGGTGACCTTGGAGCAGCTCACCAATTCATTTTTCACTTATAGATGAGGAAGATACACATGATGCTTTGCACAAATTTTTCTGATAATATTTATTTATAAGACATACTGTAGTAGCCAAAGTTGTTATTCGTTAGACTATCTCTATACTTTTCTCTTCATTTGATGAGCCTATCTGCTATTTTATGCATGTCAGAAAATATAACAAATAACAAGCTAGGCTAGAAGTAAATAATAACTTAATTAAAATACTATAGCTAGTGCAAAACATACATGAACAAACGTCAGATTAATGCAACACACATGATATTGTTCGATATAAAATTTTAAAGCATTACACACATTTCTAAAACATAAATTAAGAACAAAAATTAAGTTGACAGATTGTTTAAAAAATAGTAGAATTAAGGAATTCTCCCTTCTGACACCATCATAATGATGCATCTTACTTTGTTCGATCATCTGAAACTTTTATAGTGAATAAATATAAGAACATATGATATATTATATTGACAGTAGGGTCAAATAGTTTCACGACTTATGTCATAGATGGGTATTTATCACTAGATTTCATACTAATGTAGGTCTTGATGAGCTGTGAAATCTGCTAGAAAAATATTGGGCTTCGACTTTCATTTTCTTTCTATGCTTTTGGGTGGAAGGTGCAAAACACTTGTAATGACTTGATTCACCTTATTTTTGCTTTTTTGGTGCTTCCTTGTGAACTTCATTTAAATGAGCATGTCCAGGCTCATCTAAATTTTGTGGAATATCTTTATTACAGGTCAGACATTGGAGCATGTAGCCACAGCACCGAGAAGCATATATATTATCAAGTTTCTCCTCTAGCTCGTGCATGCCATAAATCCTAAATATTTTTTGTATTGAGCAAAACTTACATTTGATAAAATTATAGTTCAATTAATATGATAACATACAAAATTCATATAATGTTATATACTGATTAAAAGTTTTCCCCTTCAATACTTCTTTAATGCATCCATCATTTTCTTAATAGGGTCCCAACCTAATCCAGTTGTCCCTCTCTTTAACTTCTTCCATAATTTTTTGTTTTTTTTTTCAGTTATTCCATTTGTTCTTCAACTAAGTTTTATCATATGATCTTTTTATTTTTGTAATGAAAATTTTGTTATATTTTGTCAACATTCTTTTTTGAAATGCGTGGTTGGTCTATTTTCTATTTTGCTCTCTTTCAAGTATAAATCATAAAATATAACCTTCAAATATTACTCCCAACTAGCCAATATACCACATTCTTTTTATTTTACTATTTGATATATCAAGAATATATGAAATATGAAAGAAATATAAATTAAGCATGTAACTAAGAAAATAAGTAAAAGTTTTGCACCAAAAGTTAAAAGGGTCAAGGAAATGAAGTGGAACTCAACTAGATCATTTTATCAATGATTGCCCATCTAGGATCACCAACTCTATTTGACAGTCATAAAAACTTTGGCTTTAAGACCATGCAGTGTATGTGTTTGTGTGTGTCATGTGAGCTATAAGACTAGGCTCTATATGTGGTTGCGCGCTTCGTGTGGGCTGTAAGAGCTGATAGTATATGTGATTGAGTGTGTCAGGTAAGCTTTAAGACTAGATAGTATCTATGATTGAGTGTGTCAGGTAAGCTTTAAGACTAGGTAGTATCTATGATTGAGTGTGCCAAATGTACTTTAAGACTAAGAAGTATCTGTGGTTGAGTTTGTCAAGTGTACTTTAAGACTAGGTAATATCTGTGGATGAGTGTCTTGGATGCTTTAAGACAAGAAAATATCTATGGTTGAGTGTATTCGATGTGCTATAAGAACAGATAATATCTCTGATTTAGTACGACATCCAATGATTACAAAGAAGTGAGGACAAGTATATGAATCAGAGCTCGTGATTGGTTAAACCCTTTGGTTTTTTTTCACATTACCGCTCTACATAGTATTGCCAAAAGCAATTCCATCAAAACCGACATTCCATACAGCATGCACTGTACCATTACCATACCAAATATAACAACATATAATTATGAACGATACAATGCACAAAACCATATAGATACGGGGAAGATAAACAATTATATGAAGGCAAAATAAATGATTCATATGTTTGTAAATTTTCCAAATATATGTTAAAAAACCACTAATTCATATACATTTACATACATACCATCCAATTCTTTAGAATAGCTCACAAAATTCTTGCACAAAGAAGTTCAAAATCCCTGAGTTATAACAAGCTAACCTACAAATCTACCAAAATCATAGCAAGCCACCACCGGCAAAACCATGCAAAAAAAAAAAAAAAATTACATGAAGAGCAATCTGTTCAAAAACAAATAAATTGAAAAAAGATTAGATAATACTGATAATAGTGGACATAAACATGCTCTTTTCACTGAACTGTCAAAATCAACAAAATGCCAACATACCTTTGTGCAACAAATTGCAAATATCTAACATCAACAACCCCAACACTAAATAATAACTTGCTGAATGTGTATTTCACCGACAACTTTCCTAGCATAATATAAAATAAATAGAAACAAGATAGATGGAGTAATTCATGCTGTAGTCCTGAATTCCAAGAAAAACACAACCTTTTCAACTCTGAAAATTTTCAACGTCAAATGCCTCTTAGCCGTCGTGAAAGTTACTCTTTTTTAGTAAGGTGGTAACACTGAAAGATTGAAATCCCTGAATCATAGTAAGTCTACCAATAAATACAACCAAATTTAGAGCAAAGTACACATTTCAAATTTACATGCAAAGTACCAAGGCCCAAAAAAAATATCAAATTTACATGCAGAGTACACATTTCTTCTATAATTACAAGCAAAGCAAACAATTCTTATGTATTTCTAGACCTCAAACCTAAAGTTTCGTTATCACATACACCTCAGCCTAGACTCACAGTAAGCCCCAAAATGAGAAAATCAGATTCTAAAAAGACAACAAGATGGAATAAAAAACTATATAATAGATAAAAAATAACATGAAATGTACGCCTTAAACCAACAATTAAAAACTTTATTTCCCCAAAAAGAACGAATTTCATAATTCTGGCGCGAGTGAGTAAAAATTGAAAATAATGCATTGAAAAAATACATGAGAAATTTGATAAAAAAATATATACAGTCGATTTGGAGGCTAGAAGACATATGAGAAAAATTTACTCAAATGTTTGCTAAAAAAATCTAACACGTTGATAGGTATCAGTGACGAAGCCAAATAGAAGAAATTTAAGTATTATCAGGGACATAACCAACCAAGTAAATTGTAAAAGGACAGTGTTGTCATTTTCCCTTCACTGTGCAAATTGTTTAGCGAAATTTAGGTGAGCCACTCCTTTTATGGGAAAAACTTTATGTCAAGACTCCAGACATAGTTCTACGTGCGGACTCCTTAGGTATCAGTGACGAAGCCAAATAGAAGAAATTTAAGTATTATCAGGGACATAACCAACCAAGTAAATTGTAAAAGGACAGTGTTGTCATTTTCCCTTCACGCTGCAAATTGTTTAGCAAAATTTAGGTGAGCCACTCCTTTTATGGGAAAAAACTTTTTGTCAAGACTCCAGACTTAGCTCTACGTGCGGACTCCAGTGATATACCACCATGCACGCTATATTGGGCCCACCTAAAAAATATTAAAGTGGAACTGCAGCGGTTATTGGAGTGGAACCGTCGAGATTATTGGAGTGAAAATGTAGATGTTATTTGGAGGGTTATTGAGAGGTTATTTGGGGGTTTAGGCGGTTCTACTCCAATAACTCCATGCAATAACCCTCAATAAGCTCTGATGTTCCACTTCAATAGCCCGTTGCAATAACCCCCACAAAAACCCCCCAATAACCTCTTGCATTAACCCCCCCAATAAGCCCCAAATAACCCCCATAACCATCTAATAACCTCCACGATTTGACTTTAATAACCTTCAATAAACTCCACAGTATAATACACGTGGCGGTATATTACTGAAAGTCCGCACGAAAAAAAACATCCGGACACCAAATGTAAAATTTTTCCCCTTTTATAATCTCTCACACACTCTAATGTGTTTTTCTAAATAGAAAATTGTCATCCTCCCCCTCCCCAAAAGGAACCAATCAAATCGCAAAAAAAATTTATTTCCACAGCCAAATTGAAGAAATTCAGACGGACTTACCTGGCACCAGCTTATTGGGCAAAAAGCTGTTCATTACATTCATTTAGACATCTCATCCTATGCCATTAAAAGCCAGCTAGTCTCCCCTGTCCCCTACCTGCAATAAGTTGGAGAGGAAGCAAACGGCGATGGATGGCCACGCAATCACAGTTTGTGCCACCATTATACATGAGCACTTGATTCTTGCCTCGGTTGCTCCGTCAACGATCGTTCTTTTCCGCTTCAAAGATGCCGACCTTTCCTCCTCCATATCGGAGTCCCCAAGTGCAAGCTTAAATAACGATCGAAATCCTAAAGGTTGCTTGGTGTCTGTTTCATCCGATGGCTTCCCTTCTTCGATCGCATTTCTTTCAGCCACCGACTACCAATTTGTCCACTGATGCGAACTTTATGGAGTTTCCTGGAAAGCCGATGGAATCCCTCAAGGTGAGATCTCCGGGCGCTTTTCTTGTTTTATTATTTTTGAATGGTTTTTACTAAAGTATGAAGATGTTGTTGCTTTCAGATGAATTTCTCGCCTTTACTTTTGGTTAAACAGAAGGATACTTATTGGAGGAGGTTGGGATTCCTTAAGTAAGCAATTTGTCTATAATTTATGTGTTTATTTTTATAATTTGCTCATGTTGGCAAGCGGTGCGAGGTTATATTTTGTTTTTCTTTGGTTAACATCACCGTTTTCCCAATAAATATTTTAAGGTAATGATATTTTAGGGGCTGATTCGTTGAGTATCCAAAATCTAGGTGTATGTTAAATTCAGTGTAAAGTTAGTAGATTTGAAATACTTAAGAGTTATTTGGTTGGTTCTAAAGTAGATTCAAGAAAATATAATTTTGTGTTTGGTTTGAAGCAGAATAGATTCAAACTACAAAGAACTAGGGTAAATGATCAATGGGAGCTTGTTCTTATGGCTGTAGTTAAATAATGTGCAGACCTCATCTGTATTAAAAATCTATTATTATTCTAGAAATTGGCACTAATAAGTAAATATTCATGTTATGAAATTGTCATTTGACTTAGTTTATTTTATGAATTTGAGCGATATGCACTAAAAGACTTATTGATTTGTTGAATCCGAATTTGTCATGTTGATCACACCCATGGAATAAGGCATAGAATAGGAAAAGAGAGAGAGAGAGAGAGAGAGAGAGAGAGAGAGAGAGAGAGAGAGAGAGAGAGAGAGAGAGAGAGAGAGAGAGAGAGAGAGAGAGAGAGAGAGAGAGAGAGAGAGAGAGAATAGATTAAATTTTCTAAAATCTTTTTATCACTTATTTGTTAACCTTTCATCGTAGAACTGACCTATTTTGTAGGCAAAAAGTGGGATACAAAAAGTACAATTACCTGCTTGCCCATACCTTAACATGTGCGTGTAGGATAACTTGGTAAAAATAAATAAATAAAGATTTAAATACAAGTGTAAATGGATAATTAAATAAACATGTATTTGACTTGGCCCTTCTTGCCGATCGGCCATTTGTCGCCGATAGTCTTTGGGCTAGTGAGAGGCCGCTAGACAGGCTTTGTCAGCTCTAAGTGGTCGACCAACCTAATACTTGTCGATGAGCTGAATTTTTGACTAGTTAGCTTTTGTTGGCCGATTGGCTTATGTAGTCCGTTGATCGTATTTGTACTGTTCATCGAGGAAACTAAGTTGATGGTTATCCTGGTTTATGTGACGTGCACTTTAATCATTGGTGGATCCCTTTTGACCGCACTTCTTTTGACCTATCAAATTTCTTCAAGATTGTTGTTGTCGTGTTTTTAGTATACAAGATGAATAAATGAACCATAGAAATAATGAGAATGTTGACGTGAAGTTGTGACAATGTTAGGAATGATGAATTGTGGAATTGTTAGAGCATAGGGATAACTAGAGAAGATATAGTAGAGAATAGACTTGGGTGGTTTGGACATATATAAAGAATCGTATAAGATGCATACAAAAATGGTATATAAAATTAATATTAAAGCGTTAGGAAGTTTAATTGGAAAGCTTCCTCTTTTCCTTATTCACAATCTAACATATATTATATATTTATATATATTTTCAACTCTCTAGGTTATGAATAACTCTAATATTGAAAACATCGTGTAATAAGTTCTTATTACATTGTCTAACATCAACTTTCCCAATATACAAGATTCAAGCTTTTTTACTTTAAATAACACTCGCTTCATGTTGGAGCATGGATATTTATCATGCCCAGCTTGTTACAAATATAAGTGACCGTAGCTCCATTAAGGGTCTTTTGTGAAGATATCCCCTATTTTTTCTCTATTCTTTACATGACTTGTAGAAATTAGATGTGTTGAATCTTTTCGCGAACAAAATGACAATCTATCTCACTGTGCTTAGTTCACTCATGAAAGACAGGGTTTCGTTGTAGCATGGTTACCACACAACATTTTTACTAGAATTGTCATCTTAAACCCATTTAGGTTAAGTGTTGGGAAATCCACATCAATTCACTCGAAGGTTGTGCCATCTCTTGATGCTTAAATTCAACACTGTATCATGACACTATATTCTATTTATTACTCTTCCACGAGATCGAATTACTACTCACAAAGACGCAATATCCAGTAATAGATCTTTGTTCAATCTTGGAACTTGCCCAATCTGCGTAAAAAAAAATATTCAATATTTTTATGTCCATGATCCTGATATAAAATACGTTGTCCAGGAGCTCCCTCGAGGTAACATAATATTTGTTCCAAAGTTGACCAATGATGGACTATGGGGGAAGACATAAACTGGCTTATAGTGCTAATTGAATACACAATGTTAGACCGAGTTACTGTGATGTAGCTTAATTTTTTCGCCAACCTTTCATAATATTGATGATTATTAAAGGGATCTCCATCCTTAGTAAGTTGCATATTAGAAAGCTTTAAAGAATTGCATGATTTGACCCTTAATTTATCAGTTTCTACTAACAAATCCAACACATACTTCCATTGAAATAGAAATATGCTCTTCATGCTCCTTGACACCTCAATATTTGAGAAGTACTTCAAGATCACTGGGAGGAGGATCCATTGAGGAAGATGATGCCTATGTCGGACTAGGATTAGGGAAACGAGGTCTTGTCGAGTAAACATAGGTGGAGGTGGAGCTTGATTGAAACTCATGATGTGATACATTTACAACTTATCAGAATGTTGTGAAGATTTAAGCATTAATGAGTTATCATAGAATGAGGTTTTTTCATCAAAAGTGATATTAGCTGAAATTATATATTATTTAAAATATTGATACCCTTTTTGAAGATTAGAATATTCTAGAAAGACATCTTAATTACTTAGAATCCAATTTAGACACTTTGGATGAGTATCACAAACAAAATAAGTACATCCAAAGATGTGTGGTTCAATAGGAAAGAGAGTTAGTTGGAAATAAAACTTGATATGGTGTCTGGTTCTGTTGAATAGCAGAAGACATTCAGTAGTAAAAAACATGTAATAAGGACTACATCAACCTAGAACTGTTTAGATACATTCGTTTGAAACAAAAGAGCTCTAACCGTCTCATGAAGTTGTTTATTTTTTCTTTCACGTAGTCCATTTTGTGATGGTGCATCAACATAGGATGATTGGTAAAACATCTCGTTTTGTGTCATGTACGTCTGAAAGAATGCAAATAAATAATCTTTGGTATTATCACTTCTCAGAATCTTAACCAAAATATTAAATTGAGTTTTTATTGCTGCTCAAGAGGATTGAGGATGTGATAGTAACTCAATACAAGATGTCATAAAGTAAGGTAAAGTCATATTAGACAAATCATCCACAAATGTGATAAAATAAAAAAAATCATTAGATAAAATATGGCAAAGTCCCTAAGTATCAGAATGGACTAACTCAAATTATGACCGACTCTTTAATAAACTCTGGGAATAGAATACACGGGATGATGTTTAGTAAATTAAATAGACATAACTCACAATCTCAAAATGATAAATGTTGAAACCGAGGGCACAAACTTTTTCTTAGCATTGATAGTGATGGACGCCCTAATCAGATCTGAAAAGGAGATAAGGTGCTAGAACAGGCTACACGTCGAGGTACCCCAACATCCAAAATGTATAGCCCCCCTCCCCGAGTCTCATTCTGTACCAATAATTTTTTTCGTCTTAAGATCCTAAAAGAGACAATAGTCCAAAAAGAATAAAATACAACAATTAAGAGCACATTTAATTTTGTCAACAAAAATAAAATTAAAAGTTAATTGAGGCAAATTGAGGACATACGTTAGAGATAATGTGAGTGTAATATTGATGGTATTAGAACCAAGAACATTAGAGGTAGATCCATTTGTTAAAGTGACTGAAGAAATGTGTTTATGAAAGAGAAAAAATTTTGACTACCTGCCATGTGATATGTAGTTACAGAATCAATGACCAATTGTGAAATTGAAAATCAGATAAGTTTCATTGCTACCTGCTCAACTAGGACAGTAATAAATGGGGATTTCTTCAATGCTTCTTGTAATTTGATGAATTTGCAGAGATCGAGAGATTTCGACTCTGAGAAGCCTCATTAGTCATGAATATGTGAACTAACTGTGATTTAAAACCCTTCTGGTTCTTTTTCAACAACTTTGGACTTGTGTAATTTGACACCTTCGTACTGAGAATTGAGGCAAATGAGAAAACTCATAATAGTTATTTGTTCTCATTAAGTTATGTTGAATCCGGATTATTAATGAAGGCAATAAAACGTTCAATTCTTCATAAACACATTTAAAGTGTATGTGATAAGTGTTAAGTGTTTGATCCTATTTTTTGGTTGAATATAACTCATTGAATAAATCAAAGATTCTAGGAATATTTTATCTTCCATAATACACTAGTGCCAATTCCTTCATCACAATGAGTGATATAATCAGATTGATCTGTTTCGATGGAGTTCCGTATTTGTATCAAAGCTATGCATCAACTCTCATCCATTTAAAATAATTCGGAATCAAAATTGGGGGAGTTATCAATGAGGTGACTTTTGAGAGATATTTCTTAGGTACGAGTCTCACAATTTTATTCTAATAAAGTTAATTGATGTCATTTAACTTTTCATTCATAATTTGCTATAGATGAAATCAAACTTGTCGCACGATGTTTTTTCTTTCACTAAACATAAATGATGTCATTTAGTGCTGCAGGATGAGTCAAAGTAGTGGTCAAAGCACTAGTAGATAAATAATCTGATGACATATAGTTCAACAACCGCCAAAGATTTAGCGGTATAGACCCAAATAAATGAATCGGCTATGTCAATTAGGCGGAACAAAATAGTAGAACTTAGCAACCAATGAAATTAACTTATGCAGGTGATTCAAATCAAAGCAGATAGAGCAACCACAACCAAAGCAAATTAGGGTTGTGTTGATGCCCTAAACTAGGAGTAAGACGAAGCGACACTTACTGATGTTGACGAGGTCGAAGTCTTGTAATCCTGACTCCGCTGGGTGACAAAGCAGGCAAAACAAAGTCTTGCGATCCAAATGGAGGACGATAAAACATTGATGATGCTGCTGGATCACAAAGGTGAAGTCGAATGCACCAGTCGATGAGGTCGA